CGGATGAAATTCAGTCTCTGGTTGGTGGATTTCGGACTTAAGATATATTTATGCATTTCTTTTCTTCAATTGATGAAAACAAAGGATACAAGCATTTGGTACATGTATCGCAATTCGATAAAAAGTAGACCTGATAAGAAAATATCTGATGAAATTGGTGAGTTGATTATTGACCTGAAGCGAAGACTAATCCACATATATAAATAACAGTCGAATGCACGATTAAACTACGATGCAGTAAGAATTTGGGTTGATTAGACTGATGGCGGAAAATTTCAAAGCAGATAATCGATGATACAAAAATACAACGAAGAAGAGGCTGACACTAGAAAACCCGTATTAAAAGCAGTTGTAAAAGCTTAAATGAGGTTATTTTTGTAGTTCATCGGATCTAGCAGTTTTTACATCAAAAATTTAGTGAATCTTTCATAATTTACTCTTTTTTCATGGTTCGAATAAAATGATCAAGCTGTACTACTTTATGACACCTTCATCATATAGGCCAGCTTGTGTCGACGACAAATATTCAATAAGTCCGAAGACCTTAGCGAACGTCGAAAATAGAGAACTTTTAGTTCAGTGGCTGTCAGGAGCTCAAAATATTACTGGCAATGGCGGAATCAAAAATTCGCCAGAACTGGATAGAAAGTTATGGATTCAAGAATGAAACTGCAATGTAGCGAGTTCCTTCAGTGGTTGGCAGTCCTTCGTGCAGATGTGTCAAACGACCCGGAAATAGCATCGAGTACCCTAAAATCAACAATTATTATCGCGATATCCACAGATATTGAAGGTATTTCACACCACAGCATTATATCACTTGCTTTAAACAATAGAATGTATCTCAAACAAGGGTAAAACTGAGATTTGGCTCTAGCAAATGGATCGATGAGTATGATTTAATGATTTGGGTTTAGATACCGTTTATCTCAATATCAATAATTTAGGTGAACAGCAACTGAAGTTACCGATCAAATCGGTGACTTTATTGATCAGATTTGAACTTATCGCTCAGCACTTACCAACTCGGTCTGCATCGACGGTGCAATTGTACCGTATATAGCGAACACCACCACCTTGGTAGTCTACACCGCGACGATTCAGCGCCACATCGATACTGTATGTGGATGCGTCCTGATGTGGCCTTAGCGAAGCTTGTTCGTCTGG